GATCGTCATGTTCTCGGTATGTATATGGGTCCTTATTTATAACATTTGAAAATATACCAAAAACAGGAAAAAAAACAAGTTTTTTTTATTGTGAAGTACTGAAAACATCCTATCATCTTTTCACTTTGATAAAACGTATCGACAACGGTGTCCTCCCCCTCTTAACAACCGAGCAATCAACAAGTGAACAATTATGGTCTTTATAATAGCACTTGAGCGTTAAGTAAAGACGATTAAAATAACGGTTTGAATATATGCACTTAYGGGACCGACCCTTGAGATAAGAGCTTTCTAAGTAATGGTTTTTATCAAATGAGTACACCGACGCTGTATATTAGAAAACGACGCTCGTTAACTACATTGATTGACAGRTCAAGGTTTAGATAATTACTGAGATAAAATAACAAGTGATAAAGGAAATCTACATTTGACGGATGAGGAGTCTTTCACTGAGTAGTTTACTTCCAAATACGTTTTCAATTTGACGCTTTTGTCATCGTGTTTTAGGTTAAACGTGTAAGAATATAAATGACAAACAAAAYATTTGAACGGTTTTGTTTTAAAAATAGAATCTCAGTTTCTAGGTTCAAATTCATTGAATACTGATTAGGGTCGAGTTTAAAGAGTTACGTTTGACCGTCGTGCATCGCGGTCGTTGTTCAATTTATTTGCATTTCGAAAAATCTTGTAGAACTCATCGACAATATATCACCAAGTGAAACAAATAACTTTAAACCAGTGTTTGACTGGGGTCTCCATTTATCAACTTATGTTTAAATGAACAGTGAAGTTTTATTGCAATACAGTTTGAAATGATGGCTTATTTCATGAATAATCAACTGTTTTAGATTACTCTTTTGAAAAAAAAAAAGGAAAGTATCGTGCGTGAGAGATATGACTTTTAAAAACATTTAAACAAACACTACATATATAATACCTAACTTAAAATCCATCAAGTTCAATAGATGTAAAGATTTAGGATAGGAGAATAACTTCACTGAAAATTGCCAGCAACACTACATAATACCTAACTTAAAATTCATCAAGTTCAATAGATGTAAAGTCCGTTTTCTTTCTTTCTCTTCGTTTTTACTAATTAGGACAATTGGTACACTACTAAGTAATGTTCACAATCAAAGAGTTAATTAAAACTTACCCACTACGATTCGGTAAAAACGTTATCAATGGCAAGAAACAAGGTAGTTAAAAATGAATTTTATTTTTTCATTTCTTCTTGATGCACTCGCTAATTCAGTCTTGAGTTAAGCCAAAAATAGCACAGACAGATCGATAAAAACCTCCAGCGATAAGCCGACTACTTATTACTCTAGAAGACTAGATGTAACAGAAATAATTCTTAAACGTTTTCTTCAGACTCCATTTAAACCATACTTCACTATATGAGTCAATGTAAGCTAGATGTATCGCGGACAGTCATTTACTAGTTTTAGAAGGTGGGATTCACACGCCCATCATCACAACGCTAAAAACTGAACGAAAAATAACGATGTATAGCACGACGATAATAAAATTTCCCTCGTCTTCTATTTCACTKGCCTACCTTCAGTTTTTACTCTATTCGTCGGGGTAAGAGAAGACAACAAAACTGTCCTGGTAAACGTTAAAAAAGCGTGAACTAATAAGAAAATGGCGCTAAAATGACTATATTTATACAACTCTTCGCGTGTGTTTAAAATATATAATATGTAGTATTTTTGTCACTTCGCGAGCCTGAGGAGTTCAAASGTTTGAAGTTGTTTTCGCAGTAGTATTTTCTGACAAAGTTTTCATAAATGAGCATTACCAAAAGAAACTGTCGGAAATTACTCGGTATTTTCCTACTGTGGTTTAGGGAAATATAAAAGTGTGTATTTTTGTGCACTTGTGAATAGGATGTAAGGCATTTCCTGGTTTTACCTTCTTGGCTATGATGTCCGCTCTCTGTGCTGTGATGTCCAATTATGGCATGCAATGATGTGCGTTTTAGCTTATAAACGCTACTAGGACGTTCAGCCCAACACAAACACTCCCTCTATGTTGCACAGRTTCCGCTAGTTGTCAGCTGTTCATAATTACCCCTCGGTTATAATTACTATTTTGGTAACGCTTCAAGCCTCATCACTTTCACTAACATCAATGTGTCATGTTTGCTTTGCTGTTTAGTTTCAATTTGAGTTTTTTTGTGTCTTTTTTATTTTAAATGAACAAGTTACGCGCCTGAAAAGATGACTGCTTTTCTTACTCTTGAAGAAAATCACATCGCTCAATTAAAAAAATACCATTAATTGGGTGTTGAAATACGGCCGGCAAATGGTTTCTAAACATACTTAGGGTACACCAAGAAACTAGCTCAGGGATTAATTAAAGAAGTCTTCCTTTTTCGAGAAGAGACTATTATTTTTTTGCCAGTTATTTCAAGTAATGAATCGGCTGTCAAATCCCAGAAAGTAAACAAAGCTGATGGTTTCAAAAATTTTTTTTTCTGAATTAGGTAACTCTATCATATCGTACATCTTAATTGATGTTCTAACAGAAACCCTAAGAAGAAAAGACCACTGGATTTTCAAGATAACATTGATTTATTGTCGGATAAGCTTCAGGGAAGACTTTGTGCAGCAGGAGTTCCAAMAGGATCCGGTGGCTGTGACTGCCCACTTTTCTTGACGTCATCATTCATAAAAATGTGGGTTTAACGTTCATATTAGCTTTGTTTGTCTTACTTTGAAAACAAACAATCTAAAAACTGACTTAGAGAAAGAAATACGGAAAAAATAATGAATCACAGCAATTCTAAACAAACTCCTCCCTATTCTGGCGATGAATGCTTTGACGCAAGGACGACTTTTCGTAATTTTCAAAGAGATTTCTTAATTCAGTTTATTTCAAAAATTCAGATAAGAAATAACTTTAACTGAATTAAGATAAAACGGTGACTTTTATGCTAACAATCGATAATTAGACATAGGAGATGCAATGATAAATGAATACCGGCCGAGTTTTGATGATAAAAGCCACAAGGTACTTATGAGCACTCATGTCAACTAGTKATTATGATGAAATATTCATCAAAAGTAATGGCAAATATGGAATAAATTCACGTAAAATCTTGGGAAACACTGCATGATGCCTGATGATGAATATAAATACTGTCGCATTTTGACGATACTTTGGTTTGAAGCAGCATCTAAAATAGCCAGTMATGAAGGCGAATGTGAAAATACGTTACTAAAACGTTACTAAAACCGCCAAGATCAGCACGTGAAAGGTTACAAGTCGGGCTACTGGCAATTAAAGACGAAGAAYCGCGCAGCGGAGAATTGCTTACGAAAAATTCTCATTATATCATCAATGTATTTTAAATTTTAAAATGCATATTAATGTTATATATATCATTAGTCATTTAGTAATCAAGTAGTCGGTTCTCAAGTCAGTTTGTATTGTTATTAAGGCATTTATATGTAGCATAAGATAAGGTGGATTTTTCCAAGGGGGGTTCCATTTTGTTTTCGCATTTTCCTAAAACGAACTTTTTACTGTGCCTCTCGAACTGTACCAAATGTAGTGTGAATGTATTGAATAAAAATTCATTGTACGATGCGTTTTCATTTTATTTCATTTATCATTTATTTTATTTTTTTATGCTTGAGGGGGGTTCCTAGGAACCCATGGAACCTCTCCCCCCCTGGATCCGCCACTGCTAAGTGTTCATCAGTACCTTGTCTCGGCGCATTTCATTTGAACAAAATCTTTTTTACCTCAAAAAATAACACAAACTAACTAATAAGTTAACTTATAAAATTGTAAAACGCAATTTTTAAAAATCAGTACAATGAACAATAACCATTGCTTAATTGACCGCTGGAACTAAACGARATCTAAGCTAATAAAAGCTACAATTTGATCGATGGTAAGGCTCAGAAATCATTTTAASAAGCGTCTTTACATTGCCTTTGAATAATACATTTCAATGAAGGTATCCATAATTTTTTTTAAGCACGAATTCTGCGCTTCAAAGAAATTACATCTGCACCTAAGATTTCAATTCGCGGCCTCTTAAAATCAAACCSTTGTGATAAGTTTTTCGTTTTGCGTTGGTCAACAACATCAGTTAGAGCATCATGAATCTGATTCTGGTGACTTCATTGGTATGATATGATCAATCATTTTTATATTACAAAATTAGTACATTCTATTTATCTGCTTCCGACTCCAGCTGTATTCCAAAGAACGTCATAAAGCCCCCTGTTGCCTTAGGCTGTTAGTCATTATTAGTGGGTACTTGAGCTCTATTAGCCAAAGTACTCGATGTAAGTAGCAAGCAATATTAAACGTTATAACGGTGCCTAAGCTGGTCCTATATTCACATTTAAATGCAATAAACCCTATATCAAAGCTGGCTGGTTTACAGTAAACTGCCTTCCAAACATAGCTTACGTACTGGGCATAAATGTTGGTTAGTTTTTAGTGGCTTTATATTGGTTAACAGTTTTAGAAAGTATCAAGTTCATAATATCGATGTAATATATAATGCATTAAATTGTTAACCAAATTAATTGATTTATCAGTCAATCGTTCATTCTTTTAATATTCCTACATTTATTCGATTGTTTATTTATTCRATCTCAATTATTCGTTCTTTTGCTCATTTATTCAAGATTTTGCATTCATTCGACTGCTCATTTGCTCTATCTCGATTATTCGTTCTTGTTGATTCYAACGTACGATTCATAATTCAATCAACTCCACCCAGTTTTATTCATTAATCWTCACGATCATTCGTTCTTGCGTTTATCATTCGATCGTTCTTTCCTCGATTTATCCTTCCATCCATTAACTCTTTTCATTAATTAGCCCGATCATTCGTTCTTTTGTCATATTTGTTCCTATTCAGTACAACTATGAAACGTTTTCTATATAGACTCTCTCGTAAGTCAATCAAAAAGTGTTCAAAGTGTTTACTATGAACGTATTGTTATATATCTGTTGTCTGTACTCCTAGAACTACATAATTACAGGATTMTCAACATTTTCTCAAAAATCTGTTTTTTATTATCATGAAGGTTATAATAACTGCGTGCATGCTAGTGTGAGATTTTCGTTGGTTTTTCTAAAGATCCAGTTGTGCTCAGAGAGAATTAAACTTAAAAATTAAGACTTATTAACGCTTGTCCTCCACAGGATTTAAGATTAARTACTAGAATTATTTCTTGTATATTTTCAGTTTTTTTCTTTTCTCAAGGCTTTAATCACTTGTTTTTTAAGCGTCGGTTGTATTTTTCCATTGAGTACTACTCATGAGCCATGAACGACTTTGTTTGCTGCAAGTTGTACTCTTCTTAAAAAGCAAGCTGGGTCAGTATTGGACGTGAAATCAGCGATCAAGTTTATATGTTGAAAACTTATAAAGCTCTCTATTATAAGGACACCAAAAACGGGTGGATCCAGGATCCATGTGGCTGTATATCGTCTGCAGTCTATTATGATATGACTGATTCAATAGACCTCTGTCAAAATGGCGCTGCTCATTATTTTCAACCAAAACAAAATGATCCTTGACATATCATAAAGAAGAAGACAATTWGGAGCCAGGAAAGACAGCTGTACAGTGAACTACGAGTGTTTTGAATAACAACGCACAAATACGTGAAACTAAGCCTGTAATGCATTATGGGTGTAAAGATCCCAGARCTCAAAACTTGCGCGTAAGAAGACGTTTTTGTGCGAYAGTCCAACCGGGATCCCTGTTGCACTAATGAATGCATGCATTTAATTGACTTCAGACACAGCACTAGCTGCGATCACAATGAATTGTTGAGTTTCGGGATCTCTTTTAAGCTGTGTTAGCCTCAATTGTGTGAAAAATATTCAGAAA